GATCACAAGGTGTTGAAGGGATCAGGTATCAGGCATCATCAGAACGAAAAATCATACCATAGTGAATGAAGTGGGGAGTGTGGAGTAGAGACCCGAAGCCCATTTGTAGGCCACTGGACATCCCCTACAGAAGGGTGTTGGGGAGGAGACAAGCCAGGCAGGGTGCAATGTAGCAACAATGAAACACAACTTTCCTCTAGTTGCTAAATGCTTCCTCCTCTCCGACTATCATGATCCCAATTCTGCCTTACAAATCACCACACCTGTATTCTGCAAAGTCTTGATAGTGACATGAATTTCTAGAATCCTCCATGAATGTAGTATTTGATTTTGGCTTATTCTTTTTCTGGTAGGCACAATTCTAATGGCTTCCACTTGGCTTTTTCTGCTATAATAACCCTTACTTTGAATGTCAGGGGTTCGATATGAATGTCCTGCCAAGTGCTGAGTATGTATATTCCAATTATGCATTCTGGAACTGGGAAATCATTACAGGATGGGTCTGGGACCCACTGAATCCACTTTGAGATGCACCTGAGCTACGATTCCATTAATGACCCGACCACCATGATAGATCGTCTTTCCAACACAATGCCATAATTTAGTCTTCAGGAATCTTGATCAATGTTCCCTTCTATAAGACATCACATTGGCCTGTTACATTGATGGAATTATGCTGACTGGACTTAGAAAGGAAGATATCTCAATGTCTCTATACTTATTGGCAAGACACTGGTGTGCAAGAGGATAGAAAATTAACCTGACAAAAATGTAGGCACTTTAAAACTCAGTGAAATTTCTTAGGAGTCTAATGGTTGTGGGGCATGTTGAGATAGTCTTTCTAAAAGAAAAGGTCACATTGTTGCATCTATCTCCTCACACAGCTAAAAGGTGGATTTATGTTGATTGTAGAGCCAGCAGATCTCTCATTTGGGTGTGCTACTCCAGCCTCTTTATCCAGTGAAAAACTTTCAGTTTTGAGTGAAGCCTAGAAGGTTCTGCAGCAGGTCCAGTCTGCTATTCAGGACCCTTTGCTGTTTGAGCCCCATGGTGCAGATGACCCAGCGGTGGTGAAGTGTCAGCGATGGCTGGAAATGTACTTGGAGACGTTAGCAGGTCCCATTGGCGAATTATAGTGTGACCCTTAGGATTTTGGAGCAAAGCCTTGCTATCCTCTGTAGATAATGACTGTCCTTTTGGGAAACACTGTTTAGCTTGTTACTGGGCTTCAGTAGAGACCGAACATATAACTGTGGGCCACCAAGTTACCATGGAGTCTCAGCTTCCCTGCATGAATTGCATGTTGTTTGATCCATAAAGTCAGATGTGCCTCACAGCATTCCGTCAGTAAGTGGAAGTGATATATGTGAGATAGGGCTCAATTTATAGGAGGAAGTGGCCCAAATGCTCACAGTCTTCACTTCCGTCGTGTCACATTACTTTGCTTCTTTCACTATTCATCTGGGGCTTCATAAAGGGTTTCTCATGATCAGTTGACTGAGGAATAGAAAACTCATGTCTGCCATTTGACAGAAGACACAGAGCACTAAAACTCTTTCTGGGCCCTCTCTGAGAGACAGTGAAATCTTCTCTGTGTATGGAATTTTGAACAGTGCACCTAGTTGTTCACACTGCATGGGAGGTGAAATGGCTAGATGTGTGGTTGTACACTAATTCATGAATTATGGCCAATAGTTTGGATGGTCAGGGATATTGAAGGAATGTGATTGGATAGTTGGTTGCGAGGAGATAGGAGGAAGAGATATGACCTCTTTGAATTTGCTACAATCAAAATATGTGTCTCATGTGCATGTTCACAAAAATGTGACCTCAGCAGAGATTTTAGGAATTGAGTGGAGAGAATGATCTTATTGTTTTTCAACAGTTTTATTGGCACATAATTCACATACCATACAATTGAGTAGTTCAGTCATTCAATCATATCAAGGGGAATTGTACAATCACCACCACATCTTATCTTAGAGCCCCCCCACAGGGTTAAATTGCCTTCAATATGATTTGTACAATCATGATCAGTTCTAGTGCTCCCTCCCCCCTTCTGCACTCAATATCTACTCCTGAAACCCCCTTTCCCTTCCTATCGTTCATCCCCCACTTCAGCATTCCATATAACACCATGTAACAGTTATTTTCATTATACATCCACTTTTCCTGTGCTTCACTGCTGGAAACCCAACAGAAAACAATGAAAAACAAATTGCACTAGGTGGTAAGGATAGAATCATATTAGTATAAAGACAAAAAGAGAAACAGTGCATGAGAGGGAGATGACCCACATCAACTAGAATGGTACCTATTATGGAAACCAGCAATCATCTTGTCGTGGCATCAAGCGGCTCGTGAACAAAGTGCCCATGGTGGCAGAAGTTTAGATGATCAACTCAGCCGTATAGACTTCCACTCACCAAAGCCAAGTTGGCCACAGCCATTACTGAGTGTGCAATCTTTTAGCCGCAGACATGAACACCAAATCTCGGATAGGAAATCACTCCTTGGATTGATCAGCGAGTAACCTGGTGGAAGGTTGATTATACGGGACCACTTCCATCATGGAAAGGGCAGCATTTTGTTCTCCCTGGAACAGACACTTATTTTGGATGAGGATTTGCCTTCATTGCAAAGGGTGCGTCTGCACAAACTTCCATCCATATACTGACAGAGTGCCTTATCGTCTATCATCGCATCCCACACACATCACCTCAGATCACTTCACAGCAAACAAAGTGCAGCAGTGAGCCCATGCTCATGAAGTCACTTAGCATGTTCCTTATCATACTGAAGCAGCTTACTTGATGGGATGTTGGAATGGTCTTCTAAAGATACAGCTATGGCACCGGCTAAGTGCTAAAACCTACAGCATTTGAGGAGTGTTTTCTAGGAAATTTATATGCTATAAACCAGTATCGATATATTGTGGTTTTCTAACATAGCCAGGAATCAGGGTCCAGGAACTAAGGGGTGGATATGGAAATGGCATTCTTCACTATTACCCCTTGTGACCCATATGTAAACTTTTTGCTTCCTGTCCTCTTGATCCGATGCTCTGTAAATCTAGAGGTCTTCCTTCCAAAGAGAGGACTATTCCCTCCAGGAGACACAACAGTGAATCCATTGAACTGGAAATTCAACATGCCACCTGGCCACTTTCACCTCTCATGCCTCTGGATCAGCAGACAGAGAAGGGAACTGCTATGTTATCTGCCATGATTGAGTCTGATTACCGCAGGAAAAATCAGACTCGCATTAAATAATGAAGATGAAGAAGAGTATGTACAAAATACAGGAGAACCATTACAACTTATTAAGTATGTAGCACTACATCTCTTAGTACTACCATGTTCTTAGTACTCTGTGATTAAAGTCTATGGAAAACTACAGCAACTTAATCCAACATCGCAATTAATGAAGTTTTGTGTTACCCCCATTAGGACAAAAAAATCATGGGCAGCTGGTGTGCTTGGTGTGGGAAACGGGAATTGGAATAGGTGGTGAACGAAGAAGGTAGTTCTAAGTACCATCTGCAACCCCTACTTAGTTGCAGAAACAAAGACTGATTTCTTCCTTGATTTGTTATATGTGTATGTACATGTATATACACATACAAATGTGTTCATACCTATGTACAAAAGTAAAATAATATTTCTATACAATCATGGATATGTTTATTAAACAAAAATATCAAAATGTGAAGTGTTTGTTTTTCACATATCCTCTGTTTAAGTTTATACAACTCTGAAGGTAGCCTTTCCTTCTCTCTAACCCCTTACCTAAAGATTTCTGCACTTTTATATATGCCATTTCAAAATGGTAGTTTCAGCATCCTCAACAAACTCAAATTGTGTTCCTTTTCAATGTTTTTTGAGTTTGGAAGAAAAATAGAAGTTTGGTGGGGCAAGATCAAGGTTGTCAGGTGGATAGGGTAAAATTACACACACACACACAGCCCTGCCAAACAAAAATTCTCATAGGACATAAATGAGCAGGATCATCGTCATGATTTTTTTTTTAATCTTCAGCATAACTTGCATGGAATTTTTCTCACCAGTGTAGCTTTTTGTTTTCTTGAGACTTCTTTATAGTAAGCCCTCATGATTGTCCCATCATGATTACCCAATACATTTAAATACTCATTGTCATCCAGTTGATTCAGACACATACCCACTCTATAGGACAGAGTCTAACTACCCCTGTGGGTTTCTGAGACTAATTCTTTCTGGCAATAGAAAGTCGAATCTTTCTCCTGAGGAATGGCTAGTGGGTTTTCAACAACACAGAAGGCAACTATACACATGGACTTCTCTAGTTGGAATACACAGAAATCAAACTGACGACATCTGTGGGAAGAGACGATGGAAAATCTAAATATCAGCCGCTCAAACTAGGCCAGGGAATGACTGTGGAATATATCAATTGCTCATATTTAAATTCAGGTTAAAGCTGATGAAAATTAACATAAATCCATGAAAGCCAAAATATAACCTTGAGTTTAATCCCACCTGCATTTCAAGAACATCTCAAGAACAGATTTGACCGATTGACCACTAATGACAGAAGACCCGATGAGCGATGGGAGGACATGAAGAACATCATTCATGAAGAAAGCTTGACGGGTCATTAAAAAGACAGGAAAGAAAGAAAATATCAACGTGGATGTCAGAAGAGACTGAAACTTGCTCTGAATTGTAGAGTAGCTAAGGCAAATGGAAGAACTGTTGAAGTCAAAGAGCCGAGCAGAAACTGTCAGAGGACAGCTCGTGAAGGTAGTGAAGGTCAGTGGAAATGAGGCGGCCCTCTGAGATAGGCTGACACGTGGCTGCAGCAATGGGCTCAGCCAGAAGAGGCAACGCTTTGTTCTGTTGAACCACCTCAACAGCACATAACAACAACAAACAACAACATATGCATACATAGTAGCCTTAGTGGCATCATGAGTTGTGTTGCTAACCACAGGGTTGGCATTTCAAACCCAACAGCCAGACTATGACAGAAAGATGAGGTGTTAATTGCCTGTGGTGATTGACAGCCTCAGAAACCCAAATAGGTAGTTCTGCTCTGGTCTGTAGGGCTCCCATGAGTCGGGATTTCCTAGATGGCAGAAGGTTTAGTTTGTCTTTCTGTTATGTGTGTATACACGCTGAGCACTGAGCCAATGTGCTACCAGGGCTCTCGCCTCTGTACTGACACTGTCTTTTGTAATATGGTAGCATGAATTTCCTTTGTCTCCAGACCTTCAGTAGGAAGGCTTTCTTGATATTGGACTTTTAAGAGGTTCCTTGCATTTTCTTCCTTTTCTACTTCTCCCCAAGTTGATAAGATTTATTTACAAATCATCATTACTTTTATTACTGTTTTTGTATTTATAGCTTTCTAATAATTGTTTGAAACATGAATCAAAGGTTGCCTTTAAAAAGTCTTGAATACCTTGCTTTTTAGATATGGCAATCTAGACGGTGACCCCAAAGAAATCTCTCCAGTTGTTGACCAGTTCATTGAATGTGTCTGGCAGTTAATGGAACAATTTCCCTGTGCCTTTGAGTTCAATGAGAGGTTTTTGATTCACATTCAACACCACATTTATTCCTGCCAGTTTGGAAACTTCCTGTGTAACTGTCAAAAGGAGAGACGAGAACTCAAGTAAGCGTTTTGATGTCTCATTTTTATCTAGAGATACTAGTGATTGAGAATTTTAGATAGCTATTTGTACCTTTGAAAGACTATTTGACTTACACATCTATACTAACATAGTTCTTTTCTTCTGGCATCGTTTCATAAATGGCTTAAATACCATACACCAGAGGCTTCCAAATTTATTTAGCCTATCACACCCTTTTCAGCAAAACAACAACAAAATTGAGTGCCCCTCTGGAGAGGAACAGTTTTCTTGAATTATAGCCTATAATCCAACATAACATATAAGTATCTGCTTTTGCAGGCTGCCTGCCTAGCCCCCTCCCAGCGGGGAATAGCACCCATTTTGCGAAACTCTCATGTAGACGCACAGATGTGTTTGTTCCCTTCATTAGCCCTCCAATTTCTGCCTGATCCCCATAGAAGAGTAGCAAATTTACAGGAGCTTTCCTGGACTCAAAGAAGGTGACTTCTTCATTTAAAAGAAAAATTAGATATCTTTGGTAGATATTCTACTGTAATAAGAATGTCAAAGGGAACTGGGAAAGCACATTGGAAACTCAGTCCACTGTTGGTTCAGAGAGCAATTACATTGCTTTTATCCAGAGTGGAAAAGTATATAAAATATGACTTTAAATAAATTATGAAGTAAAAAATTTAACAAAAACAAAGTGAGTTGTGAAGTGCAAATATAAGAACAACTTTACAGTTTTGAAAAAGCAAAATTATTTTCATTGTGGTATCAGATTTTAATTAATGTCTAATTTAGAGTTTTATACTGTCTGAGGTGAACAGAAAGATTACTTCTTCCAGTGGGTTTGAGGTGTAATATGTGATTTTTCTTCAGCTAAGCCCATAAACCCAAACCAATGCATTTCTATCAAGTCAATTCTGACATGTACCAACTCCATGTAGGGTTTCAGAGGCAGTAAATCTTTATAGAAGCAGATAGTCTCATCTTTCTCCCACAGAGTGGCTGGTGAGTTTGAACTGCTGACCTTGAGGTTAGTAATCAAGTGCTTCATCTGACAGCACCACCAGGACTCCTTAGTGGAGGGGGTGTAAATATCTTTGATACAGAACAGGACCGACTGACACATAGCAACTATCGGTTCCTTTCCAGATGTAATATTATATATCTACAATTGTTTTAGACCCAAGATAGATCCTTCTCAGGTTATTTTTTCTTTTTTTACAGAATTGAAGAAAGAACATACTCTTTGTGGGCTCACCTGTGGAAGAATCGAGCCGACTATCTGAATCCTCTGTTCAGAGCGGATCGAAGTCAGACCCAGGGAACCCTTCATCTCCCCTCAGCGCCCTGCAACTTCATGTACAAGTATGTCATCTTCTGGGACCTGCCCATGTGTGTGGTTAGGAACTCAGGTTCTAAGTGAGACTGTCATTTGCATTTCTGGTCATTTTACGAGTGTGTGAAGTTAGCGGACAGGGCCGGTGGTGATAATGGTGGTGTCATCTGAGTCCTGCTGTCCTTCTCAGGTTTTGGAGTGGCATGTATAACCGCTTTGAAAAGGGGCTGCAGCCGCGGCAGTCAGTTCCTGATTACCTGATGGCAGTGAAGGAGGAAACGCAGCAGCTGGAGGAAGAGCTAGAGACCCTTGGAGAAGTAAGACGCACTTAACAAGTGTTCCTCTATTTTCGGTGTCGTTTGTGTTTTCAGGAGGTCTGCACCATAGAAGCCTCTTCTGATTGAGCCCACTCTTTGCTGTTGAATTGGCTCCAATTCATAGCAATCTTGTGGAGCAGAGTAGAACTCCCCCTATAGTCATCATTCTCCTGCACCGAGGCTGGTAGCTTCTAACCAGAGAGCTTTTGGATCAGCAGATGAGTGCTTCGTCATTGGGACCTTAGAGAACAGAGTAGAAATGCCTTTGTGGGTTTCTGAGACTAAATCTTTATGGGAGCAGAAAGCCTCATTTTTCTCCCACTGAACACCTAGTGGTTTTGAACTGCTGATCTTGTGGTTAGCAGCCCAAGACATAACCCACTATGGGACCAGGGCCTCTTTCTCCCGACTTAAGACATGTGAAATGTACCAACATAGCCAGCCCTATGTATTTTTGGTCAGTGGACAGCCTGAAACATAATCCCACCCATGTGGGATAATTGAAGGCCAAACCTAGACATTTAATATACTTGAGCTATCTAGCCATTGGCTCCTTTCCATGGTGCACTGCACTTGTGGGCTGTTCCTACCATAGGTCTATTTTCTTCATTATTGTTATTTTAGTAATAAAATTAATGAATCCCTACTCAAGATTATATAAAAAGTGGAACCTAAAATGAAAGAATAAAATCAAATACACAAATATGATGTTACCTTTTATCTTTAAGATTATATATTTACATTAAGCTCTTAAATGGTGATAGCTGAAGCTGATTGTAAATTGTCTATTTTTCTCACTTCCATAACGTCCTAGTATTTGTCTGATTTCTTAATTATAAAACTTTATTTCCAGTGATACCACTGTAGTTTGTAGATGTCTACAACCCACCTGGACTCTTCACCCAGCTTCACGCCTCTAAAAACCCTGTAACATCATCATGACATTCAGTCGTTCAAGAACCGGCAGTGAATTCCTATTGCCCGGACCTGAGTTCTAAATTAAGGCTTCTTGTTTATTTATATATGTTTATAGATATATTTAAATAAATCTTATTTAAGTGAATAAATAAGGATCCTTGAGATCATGTGTAATACATATACGAGAAAAAGGACAAAAAGTTGCCAGTAAGTTCTTTCACTCCAGTTATCAGAAACAAAAATAATGTGACTGGAAGACCACTTCTGGTTTCCTGCTGTCAGTCTTAATAAAGGTTGGCAAAATATAAGTTCAGTTTCAAGTCTATTCCTTTGCCCTGCAGATCATCCTTGAAAACGGCGGGTGGCCGGGGTCGGGGAAAGTGCCGTAGGTTTCAATGGCCCCCATAGTGAGACGGATTCTTTCTGGTCCCCTTAACAGTCCAAGGAAGTGTCACCTTTCAAGATGTAAATGTCTCAGGAGGGTTAAGATCTTAAGTCTAGTTAAACTCAAGTACATTCTTGGGGTAGATGACTAAAACAAATTCAGGAAGGTAAAATGTTTGTTTTGAGAACTTTGAAATCAAGCGTAAGTTTTACTCTATTATAACTTTATGAGGGTCAAACAAAACCATCTCTGGATCTGTATATGGGGCTTGGTCTTAAGTCATTGAGCTTTAACATCGTTAGAGAGGTCGTTCTAAACCCTGTCTGCATTATAACCCTTACCTCCCCCCAACACAAGCTCTTCATGCTCAAACTCTAAACCAAGAGATTCTGATGGAGCTTCTTATAGATCCTTTAGACAGAGGCTCATGTTCTACCACTGGGGCAGAGAGACCGTGATCATATGCAGAGAACTGAAATGAGCCATAGATTAGGCTTGTAGAATTCTAGAAGTTAGGCCTCTTATCAAAGGCCACTCATTTCGTTGGGCCAATATTTCTTACTCTTCCTTACGCTCCACTTTTCATAAAAGAGTTCTTCTAATTTATGTTTCAATACTTGAAAAAGTGCTAAAAAATATTTGGACTATCTGGAAGTATCAGGATTTAAAATCTTTAGACCTCTGTTCTTTATGAACTAACTCAATGCTTGGAGTTGATTCTGACTCATCGTGACAATACAGGACAGGGGACTTGTGGGTTTTGGGTCTCTTTATGGGAGTAGAAAGCTCAGTCTTTCTCCCTTGGAACAGTGGAGGGTTTTGAACTACTGACCTTGCAGCCCAACTCGTAACTATTATGCCATCAGGTTTCCCCTATTTTCTTACAAATCGGTCAAAATTCCTAGGCCTAGAATTTGAGATTTCCCCTACCAAAAAAAAAAAAAAGAAGAAAAATCAAACTCCCTGCCATCAAACCAGTTCTGACTCACCAGGATCCTCTAGAGAGAACAGAGCAGCCCTGTCTGTCCCTTTGGCTTTCCAAGACCAACTCTCCCCAGGAGCATCCGCCTCATCTTTCTCCCCACTGCTCCTTCATCCAACGCTAAGTGTTCCGTGTCTTGTACTCACCACTGCAGCGGCTCTCAACTTGGGGGTTGAACCACCCTTTCCCAGGGGTCGCCCGATTCATAACAGCAGCAAAATTACAGTTATGAAGTAGCAATGAAAAGAACTTTAAGGTTGGGGGGTCACCACGACATGAGGAACTATATGAAAGGGTCCTGACCTGAGGAAGGTTGAGAACCACTGTCTTTCTTCTGGTGCTTTTCCTCTTACTGGTCCTCCTGCCGGGAATATTTTTTTCTGCCCCTCATCAGCATATTCAAATACTATTCCTTCATAGTTCTGTTGAAAGTGTTTCTTCCTTAAAGTTTAATCTGACCTCTAAAACTATTTCTCCCAACTAATTTTTTACACTTCTAAAGAAATCCATCTTAGGTGAACTCTCTTTTTAAAAACAAATTTATCAGCATATGATTCACATTGCATATGGCATACAATCCAATGCTTAAATTATATTGGGAGTTGTACAGTTATCACCACAATTCGTTTTAGAACATTATCTTCTTTCTTGTACTTTGTTATTAACTCTGAACTCTGCCTCTTAAATAGTTGGACCTCTGTTTATCTCAGTTCCCTACATTGTCCAGCAGTGATTTTGCAATTCATGTGAATGAGTTTTTGAATGGACATGTAATACTTGACCATATAAGACCTTCCCCTCTGACAGTCAAGGAAGAAATCTGGTAAAGCATATTGTGAACAAACCAAATATCCGCCAGTGAGTGGGTGCAACGGATAAACCTGTAGCCTATGCAATCCATGGAATATTCAGCCTTAAAAAGGAACGGAGTCCCGTTCAATGCAACATGGATGAGCCTCTCAAACAGTATGCTAAGGGAAAGAAGCCAGACCCCAGGCTTATATTGTATGCTTCCATTCCTATGAAATGTTCATCCAGACCAGGTGACCCCACAGAGATAGAAAGCAGATTAGTGGTTACCGGGCTGTGGGGAAGGGAGAATGGCAAGTAACTACTGAAGTTTTCTTTTGGAAATGATTTGATTAGTCGTGGAAGTTCAACCGCCTTGAGAGAATACTAAAGCCCGCTGCATTGTACACTTCACGAAGGCACAATGGAAAGTGGGTTATATCGCAGTAAAAACTGAGGTAAAGTAAACCCTTCATTCCTGATTTCTAAAAAACTATTTTGAGTTCCTAGGATAAAAATCATTCTGTAAAATCATGTAAGAATCCTTGCAAATATGGAAAGGAGAGTACTGACTGTCAGGTGCTTCCTCTATGTGAGGTTTTAGAAATTTTATAGGTCATCGAAGCGAAGTCAGGTCTTAACGTTCCTACGTCAGAGATGGCGAAACCAAGCCACATGGAATTGAGTGATTTTGTCCACAGTCGCGAAATCGAGCTTTGAGTCCGTGCCCGCATAAACCCCACGTACTCAAGGTTGTACCTGGCTGGAAGGCGAATACTAAATGTATGCATGTATTGAGCAAGAGGGAAGTTACTTATGATTTTTTTCCCTCTGAAATTATTCTTTCTTTTCTAGAGGCTGGAAAGACTTCAGAACGTTCCGTTCAATTGCACTAACGTGAAGAGTAAGCAAAGCGAACCCAGCAAACACTCAGGGTTTTCTCCTTCAGACAACAGCACAGCCAACACGCCCCAAGATTACAGCGGCAACATGAAATCATTCCCATCCAGGAGCCCCTCCCAGGGAGATGAAGATTCCGCTCTGATTCTCACCCAAGACAATCTGAAAAGCTCAGACCCAGACCTGTCGGCCAACAGTGATCAGGAGTCTGGGGTGGAGGACCTGAGCTGTCGGTCTCCAAGTGGCGGGGAGTGCGCGCCCGGTGAAGACAGTGGCAAGGACCGCGATTCCGATGAAGCAGTGTTTCTCACTGCGTGAGCTCTCGCCGGGAGCTCCAAAATAAAACACGCAGGGAACTGTGCAAGGCAGAGTACAAAATATCTCAAGAAATGGTATGTGTCAGCAGGAATTAGAAAACGTAATGATAAAAAGGGAAAAGACCTTTTGCTTTTGATCAGGTGTTGAAGAACAGGAAAAAGCCATTTCTCCTCTCTACTGTTAACGCTTTTATGACTTGTGGGACAGAGAGGGCTGCCTATGCCTTCCGTCCCTGGAGTTGGTCCTGTCCCACTGATGACCCATGCTGTTGGCAGGCAGGGTGTGGGTAACTGTTTGCAGTGAGCGTGTGCCACAGAGACAGTAGTTTGTACAGGGGAGTGTATGAGGTGCTGCAGCAGCCTAGAGGTGTGAGTGTTTAAAACGTTTGTCTTTTTTGGCTTTTGTAAAGCAAGATAAGCCTTGTATTTCCAGGTTCCTGTGCACTATTTGGAAGTTGCACTTACAAATGTGAAATGTGAAAATTCCACATTCCAGCACAGACTGCATTTTCAGGTGCCATACATTACATGTACCTGTCAAAAGAGCAAGAGGATGATGCAGAGTTCAGAGCAACATATCTGTCCCATGTAATTGTCCCTAGAGCCCAGAGGGATGTGTCTCACATAATCCTGCCCTGAGGTGATACATGTGTGTCCCATATTTATACTCCGAGTCCATAGCATATAGTCCCAAATAATATGTGTAAAGATCCTTCCCCCTTATTATCTGCCCCAAACTCAGACATACTCAACGACTCAGCATGCATTCCATTAGTGAAAAAACACTTTAGCACCAAAATAGTAGCAGCAGATAATGGTTTGGACATAAAAGGGCTAAGAAAATTATTTCCCATTTCAAATTCTCACTCCAAAATTTTGCTTGTTAGAGAGCGATTTCTACCATTATCAGACTTTCTAAACAGAAACCTCTCGTTAGAACATGCATCTGTAGGGTGTCCCAACCCTTTCTGTTCTGCTGTTATTCTTAGTTAATCTTTCCCCTATTCCATTTACAGGTCAATTCTTTCCCCTAAATTATTTAATATTGTCTTCTTTTCTATGTTGTTACTATTTTAAAACAGCACATTGTTGAGCTGTACCATTTTCTGGTAATAGATGTGTCCCTACACTTGAGGGGCTTCACAATTATTTAAGCTTGTTTCAGATTTAGTAATCACTGCTCCTTAGATATTTTGCATTGTTAAACATTTTGTTGCTTTTCTTGAACTTCTGATACTCATCATTTTAAAAAATGCTAAGACTTGTGACTTCTTTGCTAATAGGTGTCTAATACTTAATAAAGCAGAAGCACCATCCACTCTCTGATTCTTATGTATGGATTCAGACCACATAAGCATTATTAATACCAAGTTTATATTACTGTTCCAGAGACTACAACTTCCGAGACATGTAGGCCAACCAACAGCCTGATCTCTGCAGAATAACACTGTAAAATTTCAAGGGAGGAAAAGTCCCCAGTTAAGAACTAGAACATGGTTTAATTAACATTAGCAACATCTGGTAACTTGATTGCTGAAAGTTATGAGTTTTTATAATTGCAAAAGTGAACATTTGAACCAGAATAATTTCTTGTTTTATAATAAAAAATAGGACTTTACTGGGTTAACTAAACTTCTGAATTGAAAAATGGGTGCAGAAAAGTTGCCATGTTTGGATGAGTGATATTCAGTGTATACTTCAAACATCAGTGCATTTTAGAAAAAGGAATTTATTCAGATTTCACTTTTATAAGCCACATAGGTATTTTGAATATGTGAACTCATTTGTAGGAAAATGTTAAGTTTTACTGAAATGGGTATAAAATAAAGGGTAGGAAACTACATCAATGAAATGGAGTACAAAAGATTCAGAGAGTATAGCAATGTATAAATAAAGTAATATAGCCTAAGTGTAATTGTGCTGTTTATATTTCAATATATATTTACTTTAATAACTTTATATATTTGAGACCTGTACTCTAAAGGTCAGAAATAAGGCAAAAGTATAATTCTTCTAAAAAAGTGAGCATTCTCTAGTGAGAGTTCCCAAATTATTTAAGAATAAGGACTGTTTATTAGTTTTCTGCAATATACTCTATGTAGTACAGAATAACTTGTTAATGATATTAGGATACGATAGCATTGGTTTTACAGTTTTTTGAACATAACCTGCTTCATGTTATTCTTGCAGTTGCCCAACTCGTAGAAACCTTGCTGCCTATTGAAGTTGTGATTTTGATTCGATTTGGCAGAGTAAGTGTGCCAAAGGAAATTACAATATAATTTAACAACAAAAAATGACACAGCAATTATGCCAAACAGGATTATACATTTATTTTTTTTAAAAACCAGTATAAATATTTGATATCTTAAATTTTAATTCTTTAATGTGGCATCTTCTACATCAGAGCCATAACTTTTCATTGGTTGTCCCAAGTTGTTACAAGACATTATAAGTATATATTTATTTAGACTTCTTTTAGGAGGGTGACCTGAGGCTGAAATTGATTTTTAAAAAGGTTATGATTATTGCTGATCAAAACTTGTTTTGCTTTCAGAAGGCCTTAAAAGAACATGGTCAGTCTAACATGAATCTAAGGGTACATTATAGTTTTAAATCAAAGGTCAATCAGAAAGTGCTTATTTAGGGCAAGTGGTATAAAGAAATTTCAGAATTGACCAAAGTAGCTAGTAATTTTCAGAGCTCAGATGATTTATTATTTAGTGATATTTAGATATTAGACACTATAAAAATGGATTAAAATTTTATTATATTCACTTACCTAATGTTCCTAATCAAGAATGAAACTTCCTAAAGAATTTAAGTGAAAGTATGGAAAAAGAGGGGAAATCTTAAAAAGCATTTTTATGCCTTCAGGGCACTCTAGGGGAAATTTAATTTCTTCCCCTTCAACTTGAGAATATATGAAATATGATTACGCTTACTTGTCAAATCAACCTGTATCCCAATAGTAATTCTCTACTTATCACAGAAATGTCTTCCATCCTGGACACATCCTTCAGTATGTACCTCATTGATATGGAATTTCTTCTGTTTTGAGATGTTTTAATGTCTATCCATAACAAACTACCACCTTGAACTGGCTAATAACCCCCACTCTTTCCTCTACATTTAGATTTCCATTTAGTCTTCTCTTAGTTGTTAAAATAAAATCAGAATCTTTGCTTTGATAGGCATTTCTCTTTTCCTTTGGCATTGTTTCTGCCATATGACTAATTTTATGAAAACAGTCATAGTTATAAAAATGATAGCTTCTAAAGTATCTACTATAAAAGCAGAACCCGAATTCAAAGGTAGACTTTTTCCATCTCGTGTGATTTAAACTACCTGTATGACTGGATTGTGATGAAATATCTACTCCTTTCATTTAAGAAGGAGAGACCAAGCTGTGTTTAGCGTGAAGCTGGGATAAGGCATGACGTCATCGAGATGTACAATGTTGGTTGTATAGATGAGGCTTAATTAATTAGTCTGTGGGTGCTTAATAAAACTGGTTTGGTCTGCTGGTCTGTTATTGGCCAGATTTGGTTTCTAAAAAAGCTCCATGACTGTTTGCAAACAACGAGCTTTGTAAAACTGAAGCTCTGATAGCCAGTGCTATCTAAAGCTCTCTGAAGACCCAGAGGGCTCTGCCACAGCTCCAAACATTCTGACCTCACCTGTACATCAGGAATGGTAAATAACTACGCCCCCCTCACACAGTCATCCTGAAGGGTAAGCAACAAGTCCTTAGTAGTGCCAGGAGTCTAGACAGGTGATGAATAAATGCTAATCTTTGATCCAACATTGTATCTTTATTGTTTCTGTGAATACTTAATTTTCCACACACATAAACTAGAAGTTCTTTTAAGTGTAAAAAAATAATTTTGTATTTTTAAAGTTCTAATCCCAAAAACATGGATAAGAACAACAGCAGAATAAAGAGAAGGTAAACTATACTGTATGCTGGTGTTTAGAATGACAATCACATTGGGATGAAGTTTAAATAAAAATACGCTTCAGTTTGTCTTGTGATTTTAGACACTACATTCCTAAGCCTTAGAAATATTTTCTGATTTTTCTCATTTGTTAAGATTCTCTCCTTTATTAGCTTTTAAGAATAAACGTTAAGTGTTTTCAATCTGTGATACTTAGAAACACATTATTGTATAAAGTACTAGACAGAGATTCCATTAAACTCATTAAATTAGGATTCCTAAGAATATCTTAATTTAACTTGTTACAATAGCTTTCTCCTATGAAATGTTAACTCACAGTACAAGGACAAAAAAACTCATTAACTTTCTTATATCTAGATTGATTATTTACTGAAAAAAAAGAAAGCTATTAACTTTAACAATAGGAATTTAGAAAGCATCTTTCCTTATCCAACCACAAACTTATGAAATATTTTTCTTACAAAATAAGACAACATAAAAGTTTGTGTTTTACTAGTTTAAGTGAAAGGCAGGTGTTTTTATTTCCCTATTAGGTATAATATCCATTTATACCTATATTGCTTTTAAAATACATATTCTGTTTTAAAAATAAAACACTATATAAGAACAAGTATCTTATCCTTTAGGTTTATTGTACTTACTAAAAGTTAATTTCTTTGAGACAGCACACTGGCAAGGTTAGTGTTTCCTGACCCTCTGGATATTTCAAAACAAACTCTTTTCAAAGTGCATCCAGAAACTTTCGAAAGAAAAACCCACGAGGGAAAAATCTAAATGACAAATCATTCTTGATACAGAAATGAGGGGTTTTAAAATAAAAAACACAAATTTAAATGAGATAATTTTATAAAATATTGAAACCTAGCTAAAATAACATGCATAGGTATTTAATTTCTAATAAGAGAGGTATGGCAGTGAAACCCAAATAGGCTAGGATTTATCAGTAATAAATAAACATTTTCAGTGCAAAGAGTGCAGAAAAAATTTCAAAGATTACAGCAATCATTCTAACCTGTACAAAATCAGTCTGTTCTATATACAATCTATGTCATTAGTCTAAAAATTCAGCCGCTGGGATGAAATGCCAATTTGTGAATCTTGAGCATAAAACAATGTGTTGAGTTGTTTTGTCCCATTCCTCTCTTGGTAGTTCATGTTTTCAAAAAATCTGGAAAGAAAGGAAAAATTATAATCAGGCCTGTGCCGAATCTCCTCAATGGCAAGGGCTTGGGGGTGCATAGGTTGAACCATGTGCAAGAGTAGCAAGAACACAACAGAGAGAGAAACAATAGGGAAACGAGAAAGAGAAGGAGAGCCGCAGCGATGAGAAACAAGCAGCCCCGGGAAAGATACCTTCAGCCCCGCTGGTGGCCACTCAGAATTAGGGTACAGCTACTCCTCTCGACCAGCAAGGACGCTCACCACTAGCCTGTGGTTCGATGATCATAGACCACGAGTCCCCTTTATCATTCATTAGTCGGTTTTCAATCTCAAGGTGAGTACGCGCTACTTTCTAGCATTTCAATATGAGGTATAGTTAAAACGGTTTGGGTAGAAATTTATGCTAGCAAACAAGGCATTCCTAAAACAAGATAGGGTAGAGAGTAAAGGAGAAAATCAGGAAGAGGATGGACACAGAAAGGTAATGGTGGCAGAAGAAAGAACATAACATATATGCGGGGGGTGGGGAGGGAGAATGGGAAATTAAAATGGATCTGAGATACAAGAGGGCTCCAGATAAATTTGTGGGGGGAAAAGGTGATGGAATTCTTCCTAGAACTTCCTGAAGTCCTCTCATATAGGTTGGATTATAGATATCTGGAAACTCGAGAGAAATTTGGTGTTGATTGTATTATGATCAGGGCTTATTATGGGCTCTGGGGCAGAGAAATGCTTTTTAGGAAGTAGTATTTTTAGGACAGTCATTCTGTCATTGTTGTACAGGTAGGAGATGCTCTAAAGATTGTCAGCAAATTACTGGAGTAATCCTGGTGTGAGACACAGACCGGAGGTTCACTGTAGAGGAAGAGATGATGGAGACTCAAGGGAAATACGACAAGTAGGTGAGAGGGTAACAGTCTACACACCAACCTGAGTGAAAGGAATAACCATAGCTTAAATTCTAAATACCAAACACCCAAACCATCAAGTCAATGCTAACTCATAACAACCCCTGTGGGTTTCCAAGACCATAACTGTTTATGGGAGTAGAAAGCCCAGTCTTTCTCCATGGAGCTGCTGGTGGTTCTGAACTGCCAACCACAGAGATTGCAGCCCAATGCGTAACCACTACACTACCAGGGCTCCTTACATTCTAAATAAGTAGCCATGATATACTGAAAAATACTTTCTATGTAAGCTGACAGCACACAGAAAATATCTGAAAGATTTCTACTGCTGAGAGCCCTTCAGCTACAAACATCATTGAGATTTAAACTTTTGGAACTACAACAAGTTACCTATAGTGGGGCATGAAATTGGCTATGCATTGCTATTGCCTGTTGAAGCTTCTCTTCTTTGGCTCGTCTACAGTGGCAAATCTACAAGATAAAAATTATTCTTGGTTAGCCAGGAAGACTAAGAAAACATTAAAACATAGTCATAGGTAGTACAACAGAATAATGGATCAATAATCAATGTCTTATAAGACTAATGCTATAAGAGGCAGGTTACTAATATCCCCGAACTTACATATTCTCTCAAGAAAAATGAGAATAAAATCTACCCCACCTTCTTTAAGAAGATATCACACACACACACACACACACAAGAAGGTATTACACATAGTCCAAATTTACTAACCAAGACATGTTTTAAAATGTGATGTTAGATAAATATCTAGGATTCTACCGGTGGGCAAGAAACTAAGTGGCCTTTAACAAAAAAACAAATAAAAAATGGAATGAAAATATTAAACAGAAATTAGCATCTCAATATTTTAAACATTTGTTCTATATAGATGAGTCTCTCTTTAAATAACTGTAAAACAGATTACTTCAGACTAGACTGAAGCTGAGTAGCAACTTTGTTGCAAAATGATGGGATAATATTATTTCTAGACGGAATTACTATTTGATTTACCTGGTAATATACCAACAAGAGGTTTAAAGTTATAGAAGGATGCTGCTACCATTCTCAATAAAGACTGTTTAGTTTTCTCTTGTGATATGCAAAACTCTAGCTCAGTCATAGTTTTTTTGCTCTTGAGATCTAAGTCACTGATAATACGCTGCCATCTGTGCTCAACAGGAGAGTATTACATACAGTTCTCTTTTCCATGAAGCTACTGAGAAAATCATCTATTTCAGTTTTTCCCTCCAAGAAGTCTTCAGCGATATTATCGGATTCTTCCTCAGCTTCATGTGCAGCTACTTTCAACCTGGCCTGCAGGGCGCTTGCACTACAGCTCTGAAAGAGAACCAAGCAGTGTTAGCTGACGGTGCTCCAGCAGCTCCTCACCGGGAGCACAACGAGGCTGAGTTGAGAAGCTTTACACGGCCTTTCTGGGCAGAAGTCTGCTACTATGCGGTGATCCGTGTGGTCTTCTGTTGGTGGGTATATGGATATAACACGTGAGAAACCAATTCACTGACTACAAAATATTTTATGTCAGAAAGAAAAAACACAAAACACTGCCATCAAGTTGATTCTGGCTCATAGTGACCCTATAGGGCAGAATAGAACTGCACTATTAAGTTTCTGAAGCTGTAAATATACATACACATATATATGTACATATATTTATAAATCATTCATCGGGACTCTTACAGCTCTTAAAACAATCCATACATCCATTGCATCAAGCACATTTGTACATATGTTGCCATCATTTTCAAAACATTTTCTTTCTACTTGAGCCCTTCCCTTGGTTTCAGCTCTTTTCTCCCTCCCACCCCCACCCTTCCACTCTTGTGACCCCTTGATAAGTTATCAGCTATTATTATTTTCATATTTTACACCTTCCCGTCTTCCTTCACCCATGTTTCTGTTGCTCGTCCCCACCCAGGTGTGTGTGTATGTGTGTTTATACGTTGATCATTGCGATCAGTTCTGCTTTCTCCCCGCACCTTCCCCTTGAGGCTGTGAAACGTTACAGAAACAAAGCCTTATCTTGACTTCCTTGGAGTGGCTGGTGGGTTCGAACTGCTGCCCTTGTTAGTCGGCCAATTAATAACTCACTACCCCACCACAGCTCTTGGTGAGAGAAAGGGGCAGGTTATTGTCCTCTTGGGGATTCAAGCACTAGAACACTGTGGTGGTCACACTGATAGCTCCCCAGGGTCCTTGCAACCTGGTATCCTGCCCATGTGCAATCCCCTCCCCTGGAGTGTAGGCTAGCTCCAATGCAAAAACTCACTGCCACTGAGTTAATTCCAACTCAGTGGCTCTTATTGGACTGGGTAGAATTGCCTTGTGGTTTTCTAAAACTGTAAATCTTTTGAGAGGACAAAGAAAAGTCAGTAGTTCGAACCCACCAGCTGCTCTGCAGGAGAAAGATGAAGCTTCCTGCTCCTGTAAAGATTTCACAGCCACGGAGACCCTCGGGGGCAGTATCACTCTGTCCTGTAGGGTCGCTATGACTCAGAACTGAGTCAGGGGCAGTGACCTTGGCTTTTTTTAGTTTATGATGTTGGCTACTGGCATAAGCCAAGATTCTTATCCATTCATTTTCTTTTTTCAGAAATATGAGTTGAATTTTATAGTGTCTTGTTGTTTATCACATATCTGTTTCTGGCATAAAATTATGCCTTTCAGTTTGCTATCTTTCCACTTAAGATATTTATACATAAGCATACAACTTCTAAAGTTCCAGTTCTGTGTTGACAGGCTTTCCTACATGGCTTATAATGACTTTATATAGTTATTGGGGATTTTCATAGTTTCTTACAACCTGGAACCAAATATGCTCTAACACAAACATAAATGATTTATAATACATCATATTTGAGAGCTGTTCATCTACATTTCATAGTTTGTCTAACAAATGATTTCTGATAGTAATGCTGGTAAACATATGGTCCACGAACATCAGGGTGAGAAAGTCTTATGATAAAAACAAATGGCTGAACGATCTTACCTCACTAAGTTCATGCTGCCTTTGCATCTTCTTTTCAAAACTAGATTTCATTTGTGTAAGTAATTCATACTAAAACCAGAAAGTAAAAATGCTGTTTTAGTCTACTTTTCAATGACATTAATTCTTCCCTTTAAAGCACACACTCACTCACCTTCTCTAAGACAGTTTGCCTTTTGGCTTCCAAACTGGGCTCCAAAAGGAGGTTTTTCCCTGGGAGAGAAAATCCCCAGTTTATTTCCACATAGAGATCACATTGTACGCGGGAAATCGGAACTGAACCAAGAGAACATACTTGCCAGCTCCTCAATACTGTGTACGAGGTCACCCTTGTCAGTAAGGATTTGCTTTAGTTGAGGCAAAGTCAGAAACTGCTCTAGCAATAGCTCCTCTTGTTCATTCAGATCTGTGAGTTGGGACACACTAGAAACACACAAAAAAAGAGGTTAATGAAAATCAGTCATACTATTTAAACCCCCATGATGATAGTCATGATTTTCCAGTTTTATCCAACCTCAATGATTTTTTAAAGTATTTTTGTATAAAACTTTAGAAAGGCTAACTGTAACCTTAATAGCAAACAAAGCATCCTTCACAATGGGGCAGAACAGTTTATATTCTTACAGACTCTGCAGAAGTGAAGTATGGTCCTCAGGATTGAGTCTCCGAAACTGGTGCTGCTTTTAAACTCGTATCTGTATGGCAGTGTTCACAATTATATAATGGTCTGAAACTAATCCGTTCTACTTAACTCGAGTAACGGAAAAAGGATGAAACTAGTGCTGTCCCTTATTCAGCTGAGCCTCTTAAAATTCTACAGCAGTGACATATTTAAATAGTTTTCTTCTGTTTAATTTCATTGCTTTGGAACCAGGCTTACTGATAATGTAAAGTGAAGTTACCTAAGGAGCCTTGACGGCAGAGTAGGCAACACAATGAGGTCCTTAAATGCAAAGTGGGTGCCATCCCCACCCCCAGCTGCTCCACAGGACAAAGCAGAGGCGTCCCATTCCCACAAAGATTTACAGCCTTGGAAATGGGCAGCTCTACTCCGTCCTACAGGGTCGCCAGGAGTCGGATTCGACTTGATGGCAGTGAGTTTGTCTGTTTCTTCTTTCAAATATATTAAATTAAGAGAAGGTAAATTCATAGGCCAATCACAGTGCAACTTTTATCACTTATTTCTTTCATTATCACATGTGTTGGTGGGTGGGAAATACAATTGGAAGGAAACCAGATTGGTCACTGAAATAAGCTGGTTTATAAAAATCCTTTGCGGAAGATTGTTCTTTCTATTCAGGTAAAGACCAGGTAAGTCAGTGCCCAATTTTCACTCTATGTTGGAAACGGCACATCACTAAAATCTCCCACGACTGGACAGAGTGAACAGTCTTGGCTTTGTTTATGGTGTGGGTACAGTGAGTTAAATGCTGGGCTAACACTCACAAGGCGGGCAGTTTACACTCCGCAGGAGAACCAGGAAAACACCTGCTCCTGTGGACTCTCTCCTGTAAGGTCCCTATGAGTCAGAATCAACTCAACAGGGGTAGGCTTTGTTTAGCTGGGTTTACTAAACTCTAAATGAACTAACTGTCCTATAGCTGAGTCTGACTTGCATCAATCCTATAGGACAGAGTAGAACTGCCCCTGTGGGTTCCTGAGGCTGTCAACCTTTACAGGAGCAGAAAGCCTCATCTTTCTCCCTGAGAGCAGCTAGTGGGTTCGAACTGCTGACTTTGCAATTAGCAACCCAACTCATAATCCACTTGCCACCTGTGCGACAGTATATGAATAGGGAGCCTTGGTGACACTGGGTTGGGGATTAGGCTGCTAACTTCAAAGTTAGCAACTCAAACCCACCAGCTGCTGTGCAGGAGAAAGATGAGGCTGCCTACTCCCATGAGATTGAGTCTCCGAAACCCTATAGAGCAGTGGTTCTCAACCTTCCTAATGCGGCGACCCTTTAATACAGTTCCTCATGTTGTGGTGACCCCCCAACCATAAAATTATTTTCCCTGCTACTTCATAACTGTAATTTTTCTACTGCTATGAATGGGGTGACCCCTGTGAAAGGGTCGTTCGGCCCCCAAAGGGGTCACGACCCACAGGTTGAGAACTGCTGCTATAGAGGGTCAGTATGAGTCAGACTTTATTTGATGGCAGTGGGCTGGGGAGGGTACATGAATATCCCCAACAGCATCCCAATTTTAACCTACTGAGCTAATAGGTTTATGTGCCTGTCACAATAAAAGACATGAATGTGCTTGAATATGTGTGTAGTACTTATATTCATAATTTTTCTTTTAGAAAACAATGGATGATAATATCAGAAACAAAATTAGACATCTACAGAGAGAAAGAGGGAACTGGAAGAGGGCAGAAATGGAAACTAAGCCTGAATATATCTTTCAGTTTGACAATGAAACCATATAAAAGCATTACATGATTACAATGCACAAGTATAGAAGAAAAACAAAGCATCTTTAAAATTCAAAGCAGAAGAAATTAAATGAACCTGTTTTGTGAAGTTACATAATCATATACAGAGAAATATCATTTGAAGTGATGTTAAAAAATAGTATTTGGTTGTACATCTCTGGTAGAATATATCCTAAAACCCCAAACCCAAACTGTAACCTGTACTCTCTAATCTCAATAGTAAATGTGTATCCTAATCTGAAAACCAGCGACAGCCCTTCAGAGGGAGGCTGGCTTCAGAGGTGGGGAAAGAGATGTTGATGATGAGCCCAGGACATCTTTGTTTTGTCAGAAAGGACACAACAGTCCCCTCAAAGAGTTCCCTGTTGACTCTACAGTCAACAGGTAAAGAAAAATGATTGCAATGGATTAAAACATATTAAGTATATTTTTAAAGAGTACACAACAAAAAAAGTCCATCCACCAGAACAATTTTGTAGTTTGCTAATGCACCGATGCATTGTTGTAAATACTGAAAAGAGGAAAAAGTCAAGCATTTATTTTGCCTTTTCTGTATGAAGTAGATTTCAGTATAATTCAATAGTTAAAATTTTCTACTAGTAATTAAATAGAGAAGGAATGATAGATGAAAATATATATACAACCCTTAATGAAATAAGGGCTGGTTAACAGTTTCAGATGTTTCAATCCAACTATGCTAATCTCACTAAAAGGATTACCAGTACTAAAACGATGATCAATACTGTCTGATGTGACTCAATAGAAAACGTCTACTAAATATGATGTGTGTATCCTTGCGAAAAGAACTTGGCCTACTCTAAGCCAAGGGAACACTGACGGTATAGTGGTTACATGTTGGGCTGTGATCCACATGGTTGGCAGTTCAAAACCACCAGCAGCTATGTAGGCGAAAGACTGGGCTTTCTACTCCTGTAAACCCCTTGGAAACCCACAAGGGGCTGCTAGGAGTCAGTCTTAACTTGATGGCAGTGAGTGAGTTTAATCAAACTTCTAGATCTAGCCACCAGAAGTAGAAAGTTGAGGAACATCTATTTATTAATGGAGAATATAATCAGGCAAAATCAGGAGATGGGAAATTCTGAAGGACAGATAATTTTTTCAATAATTAAATAATGCTATAAGATACATATGAAGGAACTTAAAAAAGTTCATGGAAAAGTTGAATTAAAAGAGAATGGAATTTTTTTGAAACCTTCTTGTACATGCATTTACATAACTATAGCTGTAAACATATACAATAAAATATGACAAATTGTTAGCAATTAAAAAAACAAAGATACAGTATCCAAATGCAATGTGTGGACTTGTTTTTGAATCCTGATTCAAGAAACCAACAACAAACATATTTTATGATTAAGATACTTGCAAAATGAGAAGACATTAAAGAATTATTGATTTTGTTAGGATAATAATGATACTGAGTATGGCTACAGCTTTACTACAAAGAAGAAAGTGGCCCTCATCTCGTAGAGAAATTTACTGAACAATTTGAGTGAAAATATTGTATGTGGACTTGCTTTCCAATAATTCTGATCCACATCTGCACCCCTCTCTCCCTGCCCCACCCCCCCCCACCACAAAAGGAAACAACTGGGTAAGAAAGCACAGGAAGTAAGATGTACAAAGAGCTCACTTTAGTTGTTGAGGCTGAATGACAGGTATGTGGAGGCTCAAGATACCATTGTTTGCCTTTGTGTATTTGTTATTTCCATAATGTCTTCAAAAGAAAAGAATGGGAAGAGAGCAGGCACAACTCAACGTTGTTAATACGAAGCATGTTATGAATTACTGAGGCTTCAGAATCAAAAAGAGCTTTTTGTTAATGGAACCAAAGCTTTAGTCCTACTTCCGGGGGTGGTTGTGAGCATTGCAAAGCATGTAAACCATGAACACATTCATAGAGCTGGTATAAGCATTCATTATTTTTTTACTAACAGAAATATTAAAATTGCTAAATGTAAAACACTAAGTCAAAGTTAACCAATTTGTTTTTAAAACATAAAAATTCTCATGGCTGTTTAGTTAGATAGCCCTCGTGGGTGGGATACATCTTCAAGCCAAAGAGAACTACAAAACAAAAGGCTGCAACTACGTCTGGTGGTGGGATGACGGCCGAGGGGTGGTCATTCTGCAGGCAGTGCTTCCCCAAACGGAGTGACCACAAAGCATTTTTCATGAGTCATCGCAGGGGGCCAGTGCGTCATGAAAACTGCCTTCCACTTGAAGGTGACAAACTTATCTGTCATAGATTTTAATAAATGTCTGTCTCTCTGGAAGCACCGTTTAAAATGCATGATAATTTTACTTTACTTCTCTACCACAAAGGTCTATTCATGGAACAATGAAAAGATCTCAAATATTTTGAAAGCTGCAGGAATAATGTGTTCAAGAATAATTTTCAAAAGAACGTAAGTCACACAAGAGAAAAGACCTTGTAATTCTGATAACTATTGTCTCATTCCCAGCTCCAAGGAAAATCCCTTGATACACACCAGTCACTCAATAGATACCGTATACACTCGAGTACAAGCCGACCCAAATATCAGCCAACGCCCAATTTTACCATAAAAACTGCATTAAAAATGTGCTGAAAAACTCGGCTTACACTCAAGTATATACAGTATAAGCTTTAAGACCTAAAACTGGTTTCTAAAAATTTTCCACTAAGGCAAGCACAATATAGGGATAGTGAAGATTTGAAGAAAAATTTTTAATGTTGAGATGAAAATAACCATCTATTTTGTACTGAAAAGAAAATAGACAATGGATGCCAACTTTATGATTCAAGTTTCTTACCTTAGTTCTGAGAGTTCTGGAAACACATCCGGGACCTCTGGCATCTTATAGGCAACACAATTTTGGCTGATCTAAAGAGTTTCAAAGAATATTACATTTCAACCACCACGGAACTGTTCTCATTTATTTAAAAAATAAGTCTAAATGTACTACATGCTCTAACTGCCTTCATCATTACATCTTCATTTTCACATTTCCTTTTTTTCATTACTCTCTTCTGTTTCTTTCAGTTTATTTTTTCATTCAGTGTACAAACAGAGTTTCTGTTTGGGAAGGAAGGAGATATTTAGGAACATGAATACCTATGTTAGCCCCTTTTTAAAAATAATACAGATGTTTTCAGTTAACAGCCATTTAAAAGTTGTCTTAAAATTCATTTAGACTACCAACCTGTAGCTTATTCACAAAACATTCATATAAGGAGCTGTAGGAGCAAGCCCTCAATAAAATGATTTAAGAAAACCAAAACATTCATATACTTATGAAATGCCTTGAGCTAGTAAATACAATTGTGTCCAGTTTCTAAATGATTACTAATTCTGAAATTAGTGTTACCAAATGTGGAAAGATTTTACAGTACATGACCATTACTAAGGGTTACAAATGAACGTTTAAAATCCTTTCTACACACAGAGTACTGGGTTCGCTCTTAGTAACATCCCACAGACCAACAGCGACCAGCTTAGGTCTTCTCTCTCTGCCCAGAGATCTACTACAGGCAGAGTCACATTTAGGCTATCTGCACAATAAACCACGTGGTTTTGGGGGTGGGGGTGGGGTGGTAGTGGTGGTAAAGGTGTCTCTACTAGTTCTACCTCAGTTCCTGTGAACATTGCCTATTCTTCCATTGTGCATCCAACATAACCCTAGATTGTCTGCCTCTACTCTACAGGAAGTTCCCAATTTGCAAGTACTAGACTATTTGCTGTTCTCCTCTACCTTAGTGGCTGGCACATGCAAGCATATAAGTGTTTACAGATCAAAAGATCGAGTAATGACTCAATGGTAAAAATAGAGAAACCCAGAGACAAACCGGTGCTGAAGTTTCTGTCACTGGAATGGGCAATGGCAGACTCGAAAGGATGCCAAATGAAGGAACGGCAGATTTGGCTGTAGCATAACTTGTGGTTGAAGAAACAGTGTCAGCAACAGACACCGCAGAAATAGTCCTGTTAGCTTCTTGTGGCGGGTGTGGAGGGAGAAATGAAAAACCCTGAGAAGCATAAGGAGGCAGTCCACCTGGGTTACTATACAAGCTAGTGAGAAAAAGAGGAGAAAAATTAGCTTTTAGGCATCGTATTAATCCTAGATTGTGCTAAACTGTCATAGTCATGCATTGTAGCTAGAATTTGTTTCTAGATAGCAGTGCTTGATAAAATTATATAATTAAAATAAACCTTATATAAACTCTCAAGGAAAAAGAAATGTGGTTTGCATGAAAAAGAAGATGAATGCTTTCAAAAGCATACAATCAAACTAGTCAGTGTAGGAGTGAATAGACAGGCCGTTTTTGAGTTTTCAGAATTCCACTGGTATCAATCAATATCTTAAGATAACTAGAAGAAGTCACTGGGGAATTACAGCCTTCTGGGGAGAAGGGATTGTCTGTGATCTCATACAATGACCTCACATCCAGAAGAGCAAACAGCCATAAATTCCACAAATGCAAAACCTACATCGCAAAGCCTATGATTCGACACGTCATATTGGAAGAAATGTGAAACTCCTAGCATATAGGTATCATTTTTAAAATATGAAGAGAGGCTTCAGAGAAGTTCATGGAAAAATGGGATTAAACGAGAATGAAGTTTCCCCACAAAAATTTCTAAGCCCCCTCATACATAAAGAATTTCTATAAATCCTCAAAAGGTTAGTGACTCAATAGCAAAACAGAAAATTGAAGAGTATACAAATGAAAGGAATCTAAAAAAAAATAAACAAACAAAAAGCACCCATAAGGCATAGGAAAAGATGTTCAACTTCACTGTTAGAAAAAAATGTAAATTTTATTAACACATCCTTTTCCACCTATAAGACTGGCAAAGATCCATTTTGGTAATATACTACTTTGGCACAGTCTCTGAGGAAACAGTCATTTTGGATAAGAGCACATATTGGTACAGTTACTGTGGAGGGCAATTTTTAAGTTATTTGTCAAAATTACAACTGTGCATACCACTTCTAGAATTTATCCAACAAATATGCTCACATTTGAGTAAAATATTATTTTTTAAGATTACTCACTGCAGCACTGAGGGCAAAGATGAAGGGTAGGCCTTTTAGGAAAGATTGAAAACAATAAAGATATCATCAAAAGGAGTCTTGTTAAATAAATTATGGTGCATCCATGAAATGAGTACTTTGTGGCTTCATTAAAAAAGCATGGTACCATCTGTATAAAACAGGAGGTATGTATGATGGGGCTTCAAAAGATGCGTGGAAAAATTCCATCGTCGTTTCATTCCATTTTCCCATTAACTTTTGGCGTCCTCACTGCTTCCTTGTATATGTACTATATAAACACCCACCCACACGACTTTGGATGCCAACGAGGAGAACTATACTGTCAGGACAAGAGGAGTGACAGAACGCGATACTTTTCACTCTGCATGCTTTTAGAACTTTGAGCCAAGTAAATATAGGACCTACTTAAACAACTACATTAAAAAAACACTTTCTGGTCACTTATTAATTTCAAAGAATGGTTAATTTTTAGCTTTAAAACTTGAAAATTAGTGGCATATATATGAATATGAGCTACTTAAAAAGAATATGATTTAAAAAAAAGAATATGATCAACCCAAGAAAATATTTATAAGATTCCTGAATGAATGTCTTAGTAATGCTGAACCAATCTGCTTTATTTTGAAGTTGAAGTCAGTAAGTCGTACTACAGACAAAGACAAGGCTCCAGGAAATGATGCGATTTTCATTGAGATGTGTTAGCAAACTGATAGCAACCCTGGAAGCACTTACTGGTCCAGGCCAAGAAACTTGGAAGACAGCTATCTGGTCAACCCAAAGGAAAGGGTACACACTCATCCCCATTCCAACGATAACTGACCCCAAGGAATGCAGACGTTATCAAACAGTACCACTGATACCACCACCTCCTGGGAAAATTCTGCTACAGGTAATTTAAAAACTACTGCAGCTGTACACTGACAGGGAGGTGCCTGAAACTCAAGCTGGATTCAAAAGGTGTGGAACAGGGCTGTCACTGCAGGTGTCAGATGGGTCTTAGCCAAAAGCAGAAAACAGTGGGGAGATACTTGTATTTAATCAACCTCATTTTGTACTGCATTCATTTGACTGTGTGGATAACAACAAATGGTGGGTAACACTGCAAAGAATAGGCATTTCAGAACACTGTACTGTACTTGAAGGACCCCTAGTTAAACAGTCTATTGCTAGCCAAAGGTCCGTGATAGATCCCGTCAGCTGCCCCATTAGAGAAAGCTGCTGTCAATAGCGTCCATCAACATTTGGTCTTGGAAAACCAATGGAGCAGTTCTACTCAGGCCTGTAGAGTCACTATTTGTCAGAATCTGATTCAAACAGTAATGGGTCTGGTGTTGGTTTCATTGTGGTCATATACAACCTGTTCATGAATCAAGAGGATCAAGGTGATGCAGCGTGGCTCACAATTGGAAAAGGTATGTCTCAGTGTTGTAACCTTTCACCATACCTATTCAATCTGTGTGCGGAACAAATAAATAATTCTAAAAGCCAAAGTCCATGAAGAAGGTGGCATCAGAATTGGAAGAAGACTCAGTAACAACCTGCACTATGCTAACAACTTTGCTTGCTGAAAGTGAAGATGAGCTGAAGGACTCACTGAAGAAGAATAGTGAAGACTAGTCTTCAGTATGGATTACCTCTCAACATAAAGAAAAAAAATTCTTACAAAAATAAGCAGTAGCCTGATAAATGGTGAAGAAACTTATCGTATATACTCGAGTATAAGCCGGCCCGAATATCAACTGAGGCACCTAATTATACCACAAAAATTGCATTAAAAAAGTGCTGAAAAAACTTGGCTTATACACAATACAGCAAGTTGTCAATGATTGCATTCCACTTAGATATTTAATGTCCATGCAACCAGCAGTGCAAAAACAAACAAACAGCACACTGTATTGGGCGACTCTGCTGCAAAAGCCCCCTAACATTTAAAAAAGCAAACAATGCTATTTTGATGACAAGGTGTGTCCAATCCAAGTCAAGGCCTTTCCGACCGCCTTATATATATATGAAAAGGAAGACAGAAGAATTAGTGAAGAGTTCAAACTGTGGTGTTAATGAAGAATATACCATCAACTGCCAAAAGAACAAACAAATCAGTCTTAGAAAAAAATATTACCATATTGTCCTATAGAAGTGAGAATGGCAAGACTTGCCACTTTGGACATGATATGAGGAAAGATCAATCACTCGAAAACGACTTCATGTTTGCTCAAGCAGTGGGTCAATGAAAATGAGCGAACCCGCAATGCTTTGCACAAAAACCACAAGAGTAGACCGAAGTAAACCAATGATGTTTAAGATGGAAAAAGGCAAGGCAATATTTTGCCATATGAGTTGAAACTGACTTGATGGCAACTAACAAGCAAGCATAATGCACATTATAATCTAAAAAAGTGCATCAATCTTGTTTTACATTATTTGTGCTATATCACAGAACAAATTCTAAAAAACCAAACCCACTGACATTGAGTCAATTCTGACGCACAGCAACCCTATGTAGGCTTTTGGAGGCTGTAGGAGCAGATAATCTTTCTGCCAGCGGTGAGTTTGAACCACCAACCTAATGGTTAGCAGTGTAAGACTTAACAGGAAGTTGGATTTATTGATCTGTATTTTCAAATATAGCAAACAAGTTTATTACTCAGCTCTACCCCTAAAGGAGATCGGAAATACCATTTGGGGATACAGAAGTTTCGGAACTCTGGGACTCAGACACAAAAAGGGTAAAGATGAGGGTGGGGCTAGTGGGTCTAATGAACTGGAAAACTCATCTAAGGAGATTTCCAGTTAGAAGATATCTGATCACCTTCCCGACACAATCGCTGAAGACAAAGCGGGTGCATAAGCAAATGTGGTGAAGAAAGCTGATGGAGCCCGGCTATCAAAAGATACAGCATCTAGGGTCTTGATCACGAGGTGTTAATGGGATGAGGTACTAGGCATCAAAGAACAAAAAATCATTGTGAATGAAGGGGAGTGCGGAGTAGGGACCCAAAGCCCATCTGTAGGCAACTGGACCTCCATTATAGAAGGGTGGTGGGGAGGAGACAAGCCAGTAGGGTACAGTATAGGAACGATGAAACATACAACTTTCTTCTAGTTCCTAAATGCTTCCTTCCCACCCCACCCCTGCTATCATGATCCCAATTCTACCATACAAATCTGGTTAGACCAGAGGATGTACACTGGTACAGATAAGAACTGGAAACACAGATAGGAAGCGGAAACACAGGGAATCCAGGACGGATGATCCTTTCAGGACCAGTGGTGAGAGTGGCAATATGGGGAGGGTAGAGGGAGGGTGTGGTAGAAAGGGGGAACAGATTACAGGGATCTACATATAACCTCCTCCCTGGGGGGATGGACAACAGAAAAGTGGGTGAAGGGAGACGTCAGACAGTGTAAGATATGACAAAATAATTTATAAATTCTCAAGGGTTCATAAGGAAGGAGGAAGTGGGGAGGCAAGAGGGAAAATGAACTGATACCAGGGGCTTACGTGGAGAGCAAATGTTTTGAGAATGATGAGGTTAATGAATTTACAAATGTGCTTTACACAATTGATGTATGTATGGATTGTGATAAGAGTAGTATGAGCCACCAACAAAATGATCTTTTTAAAAAAGAAAGAAAAATGAGCTGATGCCAGGGGCTTATGTGGGTGGAGAGCAAATGTTTTGAGAATGATGAGGGCAATGACTATACAAATGTGCTTTACACAATTGATGTGTGTATGGATTGTGATATGAGTTGTATGAGCCCCTAATAAAATGATTTTAAAAAAAAGAAAGAGTAGGAATAGAAATAGGAAGTAGAATTTTAAGTGACACTATGTTGTAGAGATTGCAATCACTGACATGAAACAATGTTTATAAATTGTCAAATGGAAAACTGACCTGCTCTGTAAACCTTTGCCCAATTAACATCAAGAAGTTCATCTGAATATAGAACAAGATAAAGGTTTTGAAAATCGAGTAGATGTGGGCAATAAAGCCAAGAAATACCGTGG